ACTTGGAAGAGGGCTGCACGAATTCATACCTGGGCTATTCAGCACGTCCACAACACAGATGATGCCGAAACATGGGAGGGAGAACCTTTCACCACCAAGATTGCTTATCACTCCTGGAGGGAATCCAAACCTACTTCTCTCGTTAGCAAGATGGTTTGGAACAAACTGCAGATCCCAAAGATCAGTCTCTTCATGTGGAAAGCTCTCAACTCCATTCTCCCATTCTCGGAAAATCTAGCCAGATTCAACCTGGCCATCCCCTCTCAATGTAACTTCTGTCACCATGAGCCCCAGGACCTAAACCACACACTCATCCAATGCCAAATGTCAATAAAGATATGGAGATTCTTCTCAGCTCTTTTCGATGGTCCTGTTGTCAATAGGGCAGATACCCTTAATGATACATGCATGAAATGGTGGGTTAGCACACCTAGGACCAAAATGCAGGATAGACTTAATGCTGTACTGCCGGGCTTCATTGCATGGGGATTATGGAAGGCTTATAACGCTGAAAAATACGAGGGAAAGGCCTTCAAAGAAGGGACAATCATCGCTACCACTTTGAAGACAATCCAGCAATGGATATGGATTCATAAGGAGAAGAAATGGATGAATCTGGACGATAAAATGAAATCTTTTGGGTTCTGTTTGTATCGTAGTAGAATTAATCTTCATTGCTTAGATACCTCGTAATTTTCCCGGGTGGGTAGAAGTCATCTACCACATTGCTGTAAACAATTCTCATTATCCATTAATATAAATTTCCTTCATATATATATATATATATATATATATATATATATATAGACACACACACACATACACACACTAGCATTTTAACCCGTGCGAGTGTGCGACGCACGGGATTAAACGAATTTTTTGTTTGAAATTTGCAATATTTCTTTGCTAAAACAATTTTTGGAAATCAAACAAAATAAAGAGAGAACTCTATAGATATGAGTAAACAACTATGTAAATACCAAAATAGAAGTCATATGTATTTTAAGACCAAAGTATGAGTTCACAATGTCTTTATTACACTTAGCACTCACCAAATTCTCACATTGTAACTGCCGCACTACCCCGGCACACTCCCCTCCAATGCCACCTGCCACCAGAGTGCCGTCGTAGATCGCTGATAATTGACTGATCACACTCGTATATTGCATTGTCATCACCTTGTCATTACAATGCCAATGTGTATCCTTAATAACATGCCGTCGCGGATCGCTGATAATGGAACTCTTATTTTTGTCTAAAAAGATTTAGGACTCCTATTTTAGTATTTTAATTTTTTTTATCACCCAGTAAGGGAGATTTCTTCAATATAAAACATCGACCTTAAAAGTTAAAATAATGATAAATAACATTTACTAATGATAATTTTACGAAGGGAGCACTAGAGGTGCCTCAAAAATGCAGTGGCACCGGAGTGGCACCGTTCTTCGGTGTCACTAGAACCGGGTCAATTTTACTATACACATTTGAAAACTAACATGTCAAACTCTTAAATTAGAATAATTCGAAAAACTATGAGGTATACAATATTTTTGTATAGAGAAAAAAAACTTAAGTAGAAGTAAAATATTGAAAATATACAAAATAAGAGTTCCATGTTTTTATTTTGAATAAGAGTTAAAATACATTTACAATGTCATTCATGACCTTATAAATTACAAAATATAGTGAAATGCTCATAAGTGGCCTCATACACAATGTCACATTACTACAGTGCAAATTCTTATTTTGGAACAAAAATATTGAGATCCTATTTTTGTACTTTCTTGATGTCTTACTTCAATTTTATGGTGATTTCTTTTTTGTATAATGTTATAAAGACTACTAAAGGCATTTAAAACTGATACTTTAACTCTACTTTTACTCTCAATCTTGTAAGATCAATATTAAATTAATCGTCAGTGAATACCGACTTAATAAGATATAATCCTATAAATGATAATGTTTAGCCCTAACTTTTAATTATAATCATGACGAACCATAAACTTTTGAAAATTGTATTTTTTAACTTCAAGGGTAATCCTATATGAAATGAATATAATACATTTAGGTTATGTAACCTTCTCTACGAATTTGTTTCCTAATATTATAATTGCACGGAAGAAAATTTTTGTGAGTCTTCAGCGATTAATGTTGTATTATATTATTACATAATTTATAAGGTTAATTAGTCTTCCTCAATAACATAATGGATACAAAACTTTCTTCAAATTGAATTACTTTTTGGCTTAAGATAAGCCCAAACATTGGCTGTTTTGGCCGCGTTTGTAGGCTGGTTTGACTATTTGAGTGGCTGAATGAATTGACTATTTTGACTAGCGGATTGTATTAGCAATTAGTAAAAATATCATAGGCAATTATATCTGTTCACAAATACCGGAGTAGTTGTTTATGATGTAAATTACATTTTTTGGACATACCTCCTAATGTGTTACTCCCTCCGCCCCCCCAGTTTTTGTCCACTTTTGACTTTTGCAACTGTTCATCTAAGCACTTTGACTCATCAAATTCTCTCAATGTGTAAGCCAAAAAATAGTCATGTGTGATCTTGTTTGATTCGTCTTAACATTTGAGTTTGTGAGGAGTTGAGTTTTTTTTGAAGAACCATGGAGATGACAAGAGAGAGGTTCCCCCTTTGATTGTTTTTTTTGTGTGATTTCAACAAGGTTTTTTTTTCTCTTTTTTTCATTTGGATGAAGAAGTTGATTTGAGGATAAAGAAGGAAAAGAAAATAGAGGTGAATAGAGTGGAGCCGCCGTCGCCGTAATTACCGGCGGCGGCGGTGGGAGCAAAGAACTTTTTTTTAGGTCACCAAGAGCGGTGGCTCTGATACCATGTTGAAATATTGGAATAACATACTATGAAACACCAATAATTAATGCCAAATTGCCATAGTGCAGTTCTATTTTAAGGTTAAAGACACAAAACTCTTACCTACGGAGTTTTTTTGTTATTTTTTTATGTTTTACTTCTAGTAAGGTAGATTTTTTATAGTATTGTGTCAATCATACTACTATATAGTATGTCCCAAAATATTACTCCCTTCGTTCTAATTTTAGTTCATGTTTCAGTTTACGATGTTTGACTGAAATTATTTTCAAATCATTTTAAATGACAAATGGTATAGAATTAAAAAATAAAATTACATATTAAAATACTACATCAAAAGATCTACAAAATTAGTAGTCTAGTAGTGACAATAGTATTTTATTTTATCAAATTGCTAACGAAAATAGAAAAAGAAAGTGAATGAAGTTTGACCATGTGAATAGTGAACATGTACTATAAATTGGGACGAAGGAAGTATCTAGTTTGATTTATTTACGGCCAAAATTGATAAACTTTAACCATTAATGAAATAATACCACCGTCTTAGACTATTTGTCTAGTTTTGACTTTTTGAGTCAACTTTTTTCAACTTTTGATCTATAATTAAATAAAATATATATTGTATAATAATTAGATAAAATAAAATTTTGAAAATATTTTATAGAATAAATATAATAAAACTATTTTTGTTTTAATATCTAATGTTATTTTTATTTAATTTATGGTCAAAGTTTATCAATTTTGACTGAAAAAGTTAAAAAAGGACCAATGCTTTATGCCGGAAGGAGTAAGACTTATATACAAGATATTGATACAAGAAAAAATTACATATATTTATATTATAAAATATTATTTTGTCTAATTAATATATAACGCACTTTGTAATTTTTATTTAATTATAAATTTAAAGATGATCTTACTTGATTACAAAAAATCTAAACTGAATAAATAGTTGGAGTAGGTACGGAGTATAATTTATTTTTCCTCTACACACCATAATGAAACGACACAAATCCAACTATATTAAAAATGTACCAAGTAAAATTAAGAAAATAAAAGAGTAATTTAACTAAATAGGACTAAAACATAATGACTTTCCCAAAATATGATCATATGTTTTTATTTCCGAATGTAGGACCTTTGGTCATTATTCTTTAGTCATTACTCAAGTAATGTCTATCATTGCTGGGCATTATTCCTTCCACGAAGACATTATTAAGTCCTATTTAGGGAATAAAAAAGTTTAAGTCTTAGATTAGGAAAGTCATTATGTTTTAGTCCTATTTAGTGCAAATTTCACTAAATAAAATACGAGTATATTTATGTGAAATTTGCACTAAATAGGATTAAAACATAATGACTTTCTAGACCGTGTACCGCCAGAGTAGGGAGGGGGGCAGGAGAGGGGGCTGGGGTTGGGGGGCAAGGTGGGCTGGGGTGAGGGGTTTAGGGTGAGGGGTTTAGGGGGAGGGTAAGAATCGTCGTTTTTATAAATGGAGCATTGTAAGTACCCCAAACGAACTGGTGTAAGCAACTGGTGTATAAGTATGACATTCTACGGGAAGAAAGGCAGTTTTTGTAGCAGTAGTGTGTGAGATATCCTTAGACCAAATTTCACCACTTACAAATCAAAGCACGGCGTGTTTGATTCGGACACCACTGCGATCTCGTCTGCCTTCAGTCTTGCATCGCCACCCTCCAGAGCCGCAACCAGTCTTTGGAGGCAAGCGCCGCCGTCCTCCCGCGGAGATTTGGGCATCAGATTCTCGGCGACATCGGAAGGCGTCATGTTCGCCTCCGCCAAAAGCCGGCCGATCACCGGAAAGAGCGGGTGGTGTTCCACGCCCAGGTAGTTCCTCGCCAGGACCTTAAAGGCCTCGAACCCGCAGTAGGAAAGCTCGATGTGCTTGTCCATCCTCCCGCTCCGGATCAGGGCCGGGTCCAGCTTCTCCTTGAAGTTCGTGGTGAACACTATGAGCCTCTCCCCACCAATTGCCGACCACAGGCCGTCTATAAAGTTTAGCAGACCCGAGAGGGACACTTCACTCTTCTTCTTCTTCATCTTCATCTTTTCCTCTTCATCATCATCATCTTCTTCTTGGACTTGTTGGTTGTTCCTCCCTTTCCGCTGCCCGGTCAGGTCGAGGGAGCAGTCGATGTCCTCGATCACGATGACCGACCTGCCCGACGTGTCGATCAGGAGCTTCCTGAGCGCGGTGTTGTCGTTGACCGCGGTCAGCTCCAGATCGTACACGTCGTACTCGAGGAGGTTGGCCATCGCGGCCACCATCGAGGACTTCCCCGTCCCGGGAGGGCCGTAGAGGAGGTACCCGCGCTTCCAGGCCCTCCCGGTCCGGGCGTAGTACTCCTTCGAGTCCTTGAACGTCGCGAGGTCTTCAACGATCTCCCGCTTCTTTCTCGGGTCCATCGCCAGGGTCTCGAACGTCGCGGGGTGCTGGAACGCGACCTGGATCCACGAGCTCCGCCCGTTGATCTGCCAGTTGGTGTACAGCTTCCTCGTCCGGTCCCTCACGTTGATCGCCTTCCCCGTGTCCAACACGTGCCTCAGGTACGCTCCCGTGACGACGTCCCGGTACCTCTCGTGGAACTTGAGGGTGAAGTACCGTCTCCCGTCGGCTTCCCCGCCGCCGCCTCCGTAGAAAGAGGCGGCGTTCTGCCGCTTCGGCTCGTCGCGGCAGGACGTCCACCAGACTTTGAATCTCCGCTCCTCCTCCTCGTCCGCTGCTGCCGCGGTGTTACCGGAGAACGTGTCGGTGACCTCCTCGTGATAGTCCAAGCCGAGAACGGGGGCGGGGGAGTCCACGGCGTCGTCGTCGGCCTTGAGGCGCTTGGCCTGGGCGGAGGAATTGGCGGAGAGGTAGCGCTCGATGGACTGGTACGCCCTGCTCCGGTGGAATCCGGCGCCGGGATACTCGGGGAAGGTGATGTGGACGTAGGGGTCGACGGCGCTGCGCCATTTCCTGACGTATTTCTTTAACCAATCGCGGAGTTCGTAGGGGAAGTACCGGTCGAAGGTTGCCCAGAGCACCAGCAATGTCACCATCCCCGAACCCATCTTGCCCCACAACTCCTCCATTCCAGCAACCATCTTCGATCAATGGTAGCTTAGATTCATTCTTGAGTTCCCGGCAACCGGCTGGGAATATATAAGTACGGAGTAGCACTTAGTTAGAATAAAAAATGCATACTCCTTACCTCCCTCTTTCCTAAAGTTTCACTCTCTTTGACTTCTCATAGGTACAAATATGTGGGGGTAAAAGTAAGGAATGAAGGTAAGATTGGAGTTCCATTTCAGCTACACCGAGAGATGACTATGCTAAATATAGAACTTGTATAATACCAGGGACAGAATTCATTCTTTGTTTCCAATCTGTGATTTAAATCTGATTTACTTCCTCTTAGTGACCGTTCGACCAGATCTGAAAGGTCCTCGAACATGTGGTTCATTCTTTTTTATATATTCAAAGATATAATGATTTACAATAAAATATAGAGCTGTCAAATCAGTCGGTCAGGTCAAGTTCAGATTATTTCGGGTTCGGGTCACTTTGTGTTCGAGTTAAGAACTATATGTTCATGACCCGGTGTCATCGGGTTCGAGTCGACCCAACGAGTTATGACTTTGATTTTTAAAATTTTTAAAATTATATTAACACCCGTATTTCGCATTAAATAAAATTAAAATATAAAAAATATGTATTAATCTATTGTGTTATTTTATTTTAAATTCTAAAAAAATTAGGTATATAAATCAATATTAAAAATTAAAAAATGCATAATTTTTGGAAAAAAGTAGGATAATTATGAAATATTATTAAAATTTTATTAGAAAGTACAGTATAATTTTATACCCTGAAAATGAGTAGTAAGAATAACATATAATTATAACCTTATTTTTATAACATTATATTTCATAGTAGAGTATATGGTTTTGAAAAAATTCTTACATTAGCGGGTCGGTCAGGTTGTGTTTGAGTTTGGTCGGGTTCAGTCGGATTTGACCCATTTATAACGGGTCATTTTGGATTTGGTCAATGAAACTTCGGGTTTGGTCAACAAAACCTTTGTTCAAAATCCAGTGTTTTCGGGTCAGATTTCAAGTCAAAAATAGGTCGGATCAATTTTTGCTAGATCTAGTAAAATATAATCTCTCCTTACCCCATAGATTCTCAAACACTAATATATAGCCGAATTTAACTCACTTTATTTACTTATTTTTACTACTCATTTCATATAAAAATAATCTTGTCACATTTAACCGGATGTGTTTTGATTTTAGTTAAAGTTAAAACCGTTTTTTATTTCTGATCTATGCCACCCACCGCAAAGCGTAATCAGGGTATAGCAGTCGTTTAACAGGCCGGCGAGATTACTGGTGATCCACAATAACTGGCCGGCAACAAGTGCGTTTATAAAGGTGATTTATGAAGACTTTCTTTAAAGTTGAGAACTAGGAATATAATTTCATTTAGTAGATTTCTAGCTACTAGCAAATTAAAGTTCGACAATCATGTTAGAAGTTTGAAAGAATAATGCAATGCATGTTTACTCTAATTTTTTCAACTTCGCCGAGACTTTTACAATGCAATTTTACTCCATACTTGTTAAGATTAAATTTTTTTTCTAACTCGGTATGTTTTAACTTCTCCCTCCATCTTAAATTAAATTGTTTGTTTATAATTCATATGGTCAAATTTCATTCACTCTCTTTAATTTCGTTATTGAAATAATATAATCATGTCATTTTTTGTTTCGTGGGTCTTTTGATTTAGTTTTTGTAATATGTAAATTGTATTTTTAAATTTCACTCCAATTCTCAAATAAATTGTATTGAAATAATTTCTGTCAAACATCATAAATCAAAATAGACAATTTAAATTGATATGAATGGAGTATTTTTTAAGCACGAAACGCTTATTTGAATATCAGGTGAAGTGCCAAATTATAACACTCATTTGAATAGATAGAAACACATGAAGAATAATGTGAGCTATTCATTTCTAAGAGAAATGATATGTTTATTTTGGGACAAATTCAAAACGAAATTGAGGTTGATTTAAGGACAAATTTAAATGGACAGTGAGCAAATTTATTTTAGAAGGTTGCAAATTTGCAATTGTCATAATACGCAAAATTTTAAAGATTCAATCAGGGTCCGTTTGGTACACGGAATTGATGGGATTGGAATTGAATTGGAATTAAAATTCCATGGGATTCAATTCCATAGAATTGAATTCACCAATTCCAATTCATTTTTTGCACTACCAATTCTAAATCTACATAATTTTGGTGCTACCAAACATGAGATTTGGAATTGAAGTCCCCAATTCCAATTTCATAATTTGAATTCCGTATACCAAACGGGACCTCAAAGAAATTAATTGAAGAAGACTAAATGTTTTCAACATTGCAGATGGATTTCAGCAACAAAACTGAAGTCGTTGAAGACTTCAATCACAGAGTTATAGATGTGGGCATACCCGACCCATCTGCTTGGTAAATCAAGTGACTTTACGACCCGACCCATTCTTGATCTTCCTTCAGATTGAATCGATTGGCGTTCCAACGGTTTGGCAATCAAACTCGGTGATCTTGGGCTATCCAAGCCCTTTTCTGATCCAGGACATGATCTTGATCGTGCACAAGAGCATGATTCGTAAACACAAACCACTTTAAATAAGAGTAAAACATATAGAAAGTACCAAAATAATATTTCAGTATTTTTATTCCCTTAATAAGGGTTTGCACTGTAGTAAAATGACATTGTACATGAACATCTTAGAATACTTTTTGGTAATGTACAAGATAATGATCGTGATTGGTAATATAAATCCATTCTAAATCTTATTTTGGAAATAAAAACTTGACACTTCTATTTTGTTTCATTTTCAACCTATTCTCTCCCTTCCCACGCCGTTAATAATACTGTGATGTCTAAAAAAACAGCTCACAACACAGCATCCCACTGAGAGATGGTCAAAAAACGAGTAGCACCATAAAATGAGTGCTATACTAGAACCCATTTTTACAGTTAACTATTTTAATACTAGAAGCTGTGATATCAAGGTGACATGACAACGCTTCGCCCCGGGACGTACGTTCACAAATGCTCATGACTGTGTGTGTTGCCATATCTCTGTGAGCAAACAATATGATTGGGTGCAAATGGTATCCTTGTATCTTTACACAGATTTAGAAAAACTGTTACTCAATATAAACCATAATTACGCGCGAAAACAAAGTCATAAAATGTCGCTGAAAAAGATTCTACTACCGTCTAAAGCTCAGTTATAAAAACGGGCCTCACAGGTTTAACCGAAAAGACAAAAAAGATGAAACAGAGGAGAGCGCAAGGTCATCTCTATCTATTCCTGGAATTTGGGATGGCATTTCAGCAAAACCAAAACTACAGTTGTGGAACGCTCTGCTCACCAACCACAGTGGAAACTCCTTGGCCAACATCAAACAAAGGCATTCAGGATGTTCTTCTTTAAAGTGAACTCATCGGCCTTCGCAGGACTGATTGACTGCACAACATATCAAGAAAATAATTCAGAGAATCATAGATGCATTTTACTATGAAATTACAACACCAAATTTGTTTCTTGTATAACTAATTATTGTTCCCAAATAATAGTGCAACTATTTTCCCTACCCAACTTGTTTGTCCACCGATTGAAAGAAAAGAAAATGAGCTGCTACACGATTTGGTCCCTCAACTACATACAGTTGCTCAATTTCCGTTGGCTTATTATTTGACTCGATTTAGTTCTCAACTATGTATTTCAACCCAATTTACCCTCGTAATGCATAGGCCATAAGAAGGGTATTTAACCCTAGTTTTGGTCTTTTGGACTTCCCAACTAAGTAATTTTGACCAAACTTTCGTCCCCAACATGCAAAAAGACCGTACTTGGAGTAAATTAAGCATGATGACAATTTGAGTCTAAATTACTCCGTACAAAGTTGAGGAGCAAATTGAGTAAAAACGAAGGTCAATGGCCTAAGTCGAGCATTAACTCAAAAGAAGTATGGGTAGTGCTAAAAATGAAAAGCCCACCAGTGCACTGAGAGAACTGAAATTAGTCAAATGGATGGGTATGGAAAGCCACATCTGTCTATCAAATCCAAGATATAATAGAAAAGAACCAAATGGGATACATGAAACAGATGATAAGTTCCAACAGAAGTGGTGAAATGTATTTGGCATAGTTGATAATATACCTTGGCGAGCATGCGCTCTAGCCTCTCAATTTCATTCTTGGCATAGTCAGCTCCTTTATCCATGCAACTCTTGGCAGCTTTTGCATAGATCTCCCCATATCTGGGAAGATGTGAAGCCACGACATAAATCAACAGACAATAGTGTCTCACATTGCTAACTAAAAGCTTGCCAGCAATTGAGAAGGTTACTCAAATTATAGAGCACTGATAGAGCAGGGAATGGGCAGGGATTGGTTAAGAGAATGGGAGAATTTACCAGTGTGCTCTTATTTTGTAGCACCTAAAATTCCCTGACCCCCTTTTGCCCCAGAACTTTATTGAAAGTTACACGACAAGCAAAAATAAATTACCTTTTAGAAGAGCCTGACAGCTTCTCAACTTCCTCCTCCAATTTACCAAGTACAGCCTTCTTCTCTGCATCACTAGCACTCACAAACTCCTTCACTAGGTTAACCAGATCTTCAACGACTCCGGCCTAAAACATTACAATCGTTCTAAATCCATAAGAATGGGACTGCAATGAGTTTTGAATGACTTGTCAGACCCATATGCCACTAACCTTAGAAGTAAGTTGGCCTTTGGCATCACGGTTAGTGCCACACTTCTCATTAATGAAGTTTACGAAGTCATCCACGTCTCGGCCAGCTTCATAATCTTCACCACCTTTGTTTGACTTTGGGAAGAACTTTAATGTAGGGAAACCGCTCACGCCATACCTGTGGTGGGAAAATAGAAACATGTTATGTACTACTGGTAAAATGATACAGCATTGAATTCATAGGGTATGTGCGCAGTGCAGTATTACTAAAAAAAGTAGAGCAGTAACAGATTATTATATCAAACCCATTTGTATAGGTAACATGCAACATGTACCCACCAAAAAATCATGCAACAACTTACTTCTCTCCAAGATCCTTGTACTTGTCAGCATCACATTTAGCAATGACCACATCCTCATCCAGTTTGAATGCTGTTCCCAC